GTTCGTAGTGACCAGAGGCTGTCAAACCCCACAAAGGATAAAAAAATGCCTAAAAAAGAACCATATAAGTAATTCAGACTTTGGATTCCAAGTGTTCTGTAGTATGACACAGTAGCTTTGAGTGAGGAACAGATCAAAAGTCAAAATAAGTCATTATTCCCTTTGTAGCACCTCTCCAATCTTTTTCACTACTGTTCAAAGATTGGGGTCTCATAAAAATATACCAAAAACAGCTATTTTGTTAAATATTTTTACAATTTAAAATAACTGTTTCTATTTTAATATATTTAAAAAAGTATTTTATTGCTGTGATGGCAAAGCTGAATTTTCAGTAGCCATTACCCCAGTCTTCAGAGTCACACGATCCTTCAGAAAACGACATGAGGGTGAGTAAATGACAGAATTTTCGTTTCATTACACTTTAGGCTCGCACTGTTCCTTTAAGTAACTGACATTCCTATCTGTGTGTTTTGTTAATACCAAGGATTTAAAAATCATGGTTAAATATAACACTTAACTAGACGTATATAGCAGTAAGGCTTACAGGAAACACTGTGCGTCTGTTTGGAGGCTGAATTCGCAGGCTCCAGTGTTAATAATTTGGAGATACTCCGGTAACAAAGAGGGCAGCCAGAGCAGCAGATTTCCCCCTCGTCTCCAGTTACTCATTACAGGAATATGAAACCAGAGGATCTCTGTAGCATGTGCTGGCCTGACAAGCCCTGAGCTGTGTGTGGATGTCTTTGATTAGGCTTTGGAATTAGAAGTGTGATGTGTCATATAGAGGAGATGGATAAATGCGCAGGGCTTTGGGCCTGCTAATGCAAGCAGCAGCTGCACAACAGCTGACAGGCTCCCGGCGGAGCAACAGCAGTAAAACACACCTTCAGCGAGGCCCCTACACTGAGGCATGTGCGTGCACACACACACACACACACACACACACACAGTTGCCATGGTAACACACAACTGTCAAGTGCATCAGACACACCTCAGTGAACAGGCAAATACACACCAGTGAGGTGATCTACTGATGAGTTGACACTCACAACACACACTATATCTGCGTTAAACTTGCCCTCGAGCTCCATATGGAAAAATGATGACACAGGGGAAGTATTAAGTCACTCAAACAGAAACAGTTAATGTGATCATGTTGTGTAAATGAAGGATGTCATCATCTCATTAGACATGGTTACACTGAGGATTGTGGCACAGCTCTCTCTTCCCACTTTCCTTACTGTTACAGCTACCTATGTGTTGCAATGCTCATTTTGAAATACCAACTTTTACTGTAAACCTCATAGATTTCTACACATACGTGGTTATGAATCATTTAGCCAGCAGGAATACTAGAACAGACAGCACAGGCTAAAATGGAAATGGGAAATGTCATCAAAGGCAAAAGTTAGTAACTGCAAAAAAAAAAATTTGTAGCGTCATTGGATGCTTTCCGTAAGATTCATTATTCCAGAATATTCAGCACTGAACACAAAATGATGATACTTCCCACCTGAATACTAGACATTTCGAGACAAGTCAGCATGAAATGAAACCTGTTTTCTTCCTGTTTGTGATGTATATCCAAGTAAAATGGCTTATTAAAAGAAAGAAAAAAATAGGGAGATTTATTACTTAATTTGGAAAATAAAATAATTTATAATAAACACTGGAATATTCCATAAGAATGGTCATTTTAGATTTCATGGTGACTTTAAAAACGCTTGCTCAAAAAAAAAAAAATTCTGTTCATTCATATCATTCTATACCTGGAAACTTTTCTTTCTTCTGTGGAACACAAAACATGTTTTTTTTTTTTTTGAATCTGTCACATTTATTTATATAGCCATTTATACAACACGGATTCTTACAAAGCTGCTTCACATTAATAAACAGGAAAATATCAGTATAAATGTAAAATGATCATTTATGAAAAAAATTCAATTCAGCAGCTACTCAGAATGCAATAATGTCATTATTCAGCTCAATTCAATTCATTCAATGTTGATTCAGTTCAGTTCGATAACTGTCAGTGTTCATCAATTATGAAATTATTTAAATTCAGCTATAAGCACCTCTACAGAAGGCAATAATATCGTAATTCAGCTCAATTCACTTCAGTGTTGATTTAGTTCAGTTCAATAACACTGACAGCATTGCAAAGTTAGTGTCATTATCTAGCTCAATTCAGTTCAGATTTTTTTCTCATGCAATAGCATCAGTACAGTTACATAGATTATATTATTATGTATTACCTGACAGAAAGTCAATAGGGTCCAGTGTTGTTTTGGACCATTGAATTTAACTATATGGACAAAAACAGCTGAAACCTTCTTTTTTGTTCTACAGGAGAAATAATATCATACAGGTTTGATGATGACAGAATTTTCATCTATTCAATTTGACAAAATACTGAGTTTTAAACAGGTTTGTGATTCAATATTAACATAAATGTTTTGTTTTAACCTAGAAAGTCGAATCAGAAGTCTGTGGGTTGGCCTCACCTGCAGCTGACACACCTCATCACCATGTCCTTCACAGCCCAGGTGGCCTCTGTGTGGAGAATTCCGGTTCGGTGTCATTCAGGGGACAAACTCAAAAACATCCAATGTCTGTTGCTCACAGATTTGCGAATGAAGGTGCTGACAGTACCAGTGCACTGAAACCCACCCTGTGTCTCTTTGTTTTAAGAGCACAGTGTTTGCTGAGTGCTTGGACTGAAGGCTGGGACAAGCAAGGAGTTGAGTGAATGTATACTCTGAGGAATGAGTTCTTTAGTGAGTCCACATCAACTCTGAGTGCTTTGTCTGTCAATCAGTCATTGGATTTCCAAGTAAGCTTAAGCATTTCAGTTAACAAGAGATCAATATCTAGGAGTTATTCCAGAGAAAACCAGCAATTACCTTTATGCATTTATGAAACAGAGGATCTCTGCACAGTTGTGACATGACCATAAAGCAGCTGGAGCAGTTGCCATGGCAACATAGGGTTTGGCGGAGGTGTGACATTAGCCCTGCCCTCTGAGGGGGAGGGAACCTCAGTGAACACAAGATCAGAGTGATACCACCTGCCCACATCTGCCTCTCTCAACACACAGAAAGATATAGACAGACAGACAGACAGATAGACAGATAGATAGACAGATAGATAGATAGATAGATAGATATAACACTAGATAGACAGACGGACAGATAGATAGAACCATCAAAATAATGCTAGATAGACAGACACAGACAGACAGAACGATCAATATAACGCTAGATAGACAGACAGATAGAACGATCAATATAATGCTAGATAGACAGACACAGACAGACAGATAGATAGATAGATAGATAAAACGATCAATATAATGCTAGATAGACAGACAGATAAAATGATCAATATAACGGTATATAGACAGACAGACAGATAGAACGATCAATATAATGCTAGATAGACAGATAGATAGAACGATCAATATAATGCTAGATAGACAGATAGATAGAACGATCAATATAATGCTAGATAGACAGACAGACAGACAGATAGATAGATAGACAGACAGATAGATAGATAGAACGATCAATATAATGCTAGATATACAGACAGATAAAATGATCAATATAATGGTATATAGACAGACAGATAGATAGCACGATCAATATAACGCTAGATAGACACAGACAGACAGAACGATCAATATAATGCTAAATCATACCTGTCAACCCTCCCGTTTTTCCCAGGATTTTCCTGTATTTTACCATTCTATCCCGCTATCATCCTGTTTAAATATTTCCCCATATTTTTAATATTTCTTGGCGGATTTGATATGTTTGCTACATTCGCCTCCGGCAAAACTCCCGTAATTTGTATAGCCCACTGACGGTCACTGGTCCAGATCCAGATTTCAGGCGTAGTGTGACAGGAGCCATCAACTCAATCCTAATTATATGAAAAATACGGTCAAGCGGCTTTGTTACCGGGGAAAACCGCTGTATTTCTGCCATTCCGAAAACGCTACCTGCTGGCTGAGGATGAATTTGCATTTTTCAATAAAGAACATTACAGTTTTTCTCGATTGCTAAAACACTATAACCAGGCTTTTGAACTAAAATTTCAAAACCATAACGCCATTTTTCAAAAAGCACACCCATTTTGCTGCATTTTCGAGGGATAAATGCCATCAGCCTCTCCACAATTGATCGTGTCCTCTGAAAGCACCGCGTCCCTTTCGAACGAAACTGACAGAGTGAAAGACCAAATGGGGAATTGGGTGAGACGTTATGGATTTGTGTTTACTGTTTTGAGAATACGAGGCATAGTTTCAAGAAATGTGTTTAAGCAATCGAGAAAAACCGTAAATCGCGCACAGCAGACTTTGCTCACATCTGGTAAATGCAAGTCTCTTTACATTGAGATTTTAAGATCTTCTTATCTGGACTAAATTTGCATTAATTTAAGGCGGATTGATTCCTAAAAACTATTGATTTAAAAATGCAGGAAAAAGACACCTCTTAAAATGGCCTGTTTTAATCTTGTGACACAAAATCACAGAGGAAAAAAGGCAAAATATTAAGAGGTCATAAACAGCATCTACTTCTGATTTCCTGTTTGCGACAAGAGCATCTGCGCTTCTCATCTGGTGCGTCAGTCTCTTCTGACTTTTACAGAAGGCATCATGTGAATATAATGCTCTCCATCTCATGTCTTCATAAAGAAAGAACCTCTTCACTGTCACAGCCAGATGCTTAAGCTTGCTAAACATGTTACAAGCACTCATCCCACAGTAAAGTATCTATTTAAGAGCTTGGCTTTCATAACACTTTGGTTCAAGCCAGTCAAATAACACAGGCTTTGCAAGAAATGTTTTATGCAATGGTCTAAAAAAAATCTAGCATAGTATAATTTAAAAAAGTGAAAAGTGACGTGACATGTGGCCAAGTATGGCCCCCACCTACAATCCCTGCCGGACTTGAGACTCGAACTCGCACCCTTTGGGTTACGAGTCCGACTCTCTAACCATTAGGCCACGACTTCCCCATTTAAAACATTTCAAAGGAATAGAAATCCAAGCCAAGGTATTGAAATAGATTCCAAAATCAAACAGACTAAATAATAATAATGCAAAAAACACTTATTAAACTCAATTCAGTGGTTGATTGTACATTATAAATCAAATTCATTCAGAATATAATGCTATTGCAAAGTGTTTATGGAGTAAATGTGAGTCAGACCGAGTTGATGGCTGAGGAATTGAGGCAGTGGCTGAGGTGGTTCAGATGAGAAAAAAAAAAAAAGCCTCTCTGAACCTCCTCATATACCTTTAACCTGGACGAGCTGGAAGGGAATCCACACAGTCCACAAAGTTTGCTTTTCACATTCCCTGAACGTCTGTAGAAAAATACACTCGATTCACTGCTTCTTCTTTGCAGTAATGTTCTTGCAGACCCAGTTCATGCCATCCTGAAAGAAGGAAGCACTTTATGTGAAAACCAGTCTCTGATGGGAAGGTCTAAACAAATGAATGGGAAAATAAAAGGCGGCTAATGACTCACCTGAACCCCCTCTCCTGTAAGTGCAGAGCAGGACTGAATTTGCCACATGCGGTCCCGAATGGTGTGCAGGTTCAGTCCCTCTGCGATCTCAGAGGCTGGAGCAGCAGTCAGCAGGTCTTGCTTATTGGCAAAGATCAAAACAGGTACGCCACTAAGTTTCTCCTCATCCAGCAGCTCAGCCAACTCCTGCACACCACATGAACAATTCAAAATAGCTCATTCAAATACTTTCAGCATGCATTTGCTTGAACAAATGCATATCAAATACACGAGTTTCACAATTTGAGTTGAATTACTGAAATAAATGAACTTTTCCACGACATTCTAATTTATTGAGATGCACCTGTATATGCTTACACATTTCTTTGGAGCCATTTAGAGTTTCACTTCAAATCAGTGTGAAATATCAATGCTGCAGTGAATCGTATTAAGCTGGAAAATGCAGCAGGACTGAGACCTGAGAAAGTGTGAAGCCACATAGTCTGAGAAATATCCTGCAGAGGCCTTGGATGGTTTATTCTCTCTCATCTACACACACAAACAAGACAAGTCATGATAAAAACAGATTTGCTATATATACCTGTCCCGTTTCCTCAAACCGCTTCCTGTCTGCACTGTCTATGACATAAATCTGAAAAGCAAAAACATAATGTCAAAAATCATATCATTAAGTAAACAATTATGGGAAATATCTCGTACACAAGAAATATAAATACACTACTGTTCAAACGCTTGGGGTCAGTAGCTTTTTTTAATTAATACTTGCATTAAACTGATCAAAAGTGACAGTATTGCGTTAGCAGCGCAAAAGGTCGTGGGTTCAATTCCCAGGGAACACACATACTGGTAAAAATGTATAGCCTGAATGCACTGTAAGTCGCTTTGGATAAAAGCGTCTGCTAAATGCATAAATGTAAATGTAAAAGACAGCAAAAGAATCTTGAAAAAAAAAATCAGTTTCCACAAAAGTTTTAAGCAGCATGACTGTTTTCAACATTGCTAATAATAAGAAATGATTCTTGAGCATCAAATCAGCTGCTGAAAATTCAGCTTTGCCATCACAGCAATAAATTGCATTTGAACTATATACAATAAAGTAAAAAACAATTATTTAAAATTGTAATAATAATACTGTTTTTTGTTTTTGTTTTTTTTTACTCTTTTTGATCTAATAAATGCAGCCTGGCTAAGGATAAGAGACTTCTTACTTAAAAAAATCGACCCCAAACTTTTGTACAGTAGTGTATATGAAAATAAATTAACTATAAACTGACACTTTGTTCAGTGGTCTGGCTATGCATAACTCATAAACACACATCTCTTAAGAAACACTCACAAGCGCGTCAGTATTTTCAAAGTAGTTTCTCCAGTACGGCCTTATCTTCCTCTGGCCTCCAATGTCCCAGACATTCAGTTTGAAGCCCTGAGACTGCACGCTCTTAATGTTAAAGCCCTGGCAAAACAGAAGAATTAAAAGTAAGCTGTGCTGTGCTAAAGTAAGAGAAAAATAAAAGCAGAAGCACATTGATAATAAACTTATCTACTTTTTACCAGGAAATTTGTAATTTCTGCAAAAGGGAGATAATTTCTAGTAGGTACTTTTTGTGTGCGTTACCTGTGTCGGGGTGATGTGACTAATATCCTCAGAGGCAAGCTGTTTGAGAAGTGTCGTCTTTCCACCATTGTCTAATCCGAGAAGCAGAATGCGTACCTCCTGCTCTGGGGCACTCTTTAGTTTTCTAAGGATTGACAACAAACCCTGGAATAAACATAATATGCTCAGTAACCAGATTTTAAACAAGCCAGTAATGAAACAATAACACTATGAGAAAAAAACTCTTTCTCTCAGTCAAGAAACTTTTATAACAAACTATTAGAAAAGACAAATAAGATAATAATGTTATTCAGTAGGTATGTAAAATAAATAAATAAAAAAGCAATGAAATTGAAAAGTGATTTATGTCAACATTTGGTGAACTATCGCTTTAACACTGGTGTCTATACTTCATATCAGGTATCAAGTACTTATATCAAATATTTTACGCATAGATGTCAGCTGAAAAAGAGGCAGGAGCTCTGGATTTCGGACTGGGTAAAATCATTCCTGCTTAATTATTCGGGAAAATAAGTAGCGGGACAGCAATGAACTACAGTTAAGCCTTAGCGCCGCTGAGCCATCAGGTTTCACTCCTACACAAAACCCGCCACTGCAGCTACTAATCAAGACTAACGTTACACGCCCCCAGTTCCAGTAAATGGCTCGTATTTTCTAAGTTTCTTCAACCCCAATTCATTACAAAATACACAAAGACATGACAAGAGGCAGAAAACTTCTCACCATCTTCCTCCCGGTATTTTCCGAGACGCTGACGAGGGTTACTAGGGGACGTTCAGTGACGTCACGGCTCTCTGTTCGGTCAGGTTTCAAAGTCAATGTCTGTATACGTTAAATCCAGGTGTGACTACATTATAGCTGCATTTCTATTTCTGAGTTAACAACATTTCCACCGTTGTTATTGCACAAAGAAAAACATACTACTCATTTTGTCACTCTATATGTTGTCACAATAGAACCTACCATTAAAGTCTATTATAAGCTTTTACAAATAATAGAATTATGAAACACAAAACAATTCAGAAAACAGCAAATATGTAAAAGGTAAAGTAGAAAAATAATGAATAGACGTTTAATTTGATAATATCAAGCTTGATTATATAGAACACTCTGGCCTGACTGTATACCTTTGTGGTTTTATTGTGTTCACATTGTCTTTCTGATTATCAAATGTTCTATATAATTATACTCAAATTATTGAGAATATTAATACTGTATAATATCATCATAAAATGATAATACTCTATCTATATATATATATATATGTTTTTTTCATACAGTTGATGTAATTGTACCAAACACAGCAATTGTTATTACAGCACTGATCATCAGTGCTACAAAATTAAATTTGCCAAAATGGTTATAAAGTGAGATTTAAAAAAAAAAAAGCAACAACTGCACTGGTTCTACTAAAACAACACATTTTATTTACAGAATCTGTAAATAAATCTGTAAAAATACAAAAACGGCAACCATGGCAAGTCCTTCGACTGATCTCGACAAAAAATATCAGTCCTTCAAAAAGGGACTAAGATTTAAAAACCCTGATTGCCAAAAAACAAAAACAAAATTCCAAACAGCAAAACAATATGTGAGAGGAATATCTGTAGAGAACAATGCTGGTGCTTTCCCTAAAGGCAGAAGATTGACGCTTTTCACTGTCAATATCATCTTACAGTATGTTACAGAGATCATCCATCTGGAATCAACCTGGTGTGAAGTGCCTCACTTCAGGGCTCAGTGGTAACAGGACTGTGAATTCTCAGTCCCTGAACTGAGAGTGAATCTGAAGTTTGGTGTTGGCAGTTACGCACACACAAGTAACAGTATTAACTAATAAAACACTTTCATCATGAAATAAATGTTCATGGAGCTGGTTGTATGGAGGCTTTAACCTTTCTATTTAACATTTGCGACCACAATCTGAAAGTACAAAATCCCATTACATTCTACACCACCCTCCGTCACGTCCTGTAGTAGAACATTATATCTATTATTAAAATGTATAAATGTCTGGTGTAAACATCTCAAATTAAGCTCTCTGCTTTTTCTTGGCTGGTTTGACTGAGGGCATTTCCTCCTCACTGACATCATCATCATCGTCTTCATCTGATATTCCAGACTCTTCATTCTCTGTGGCTGAAGGAGAACTTATTAGCATCATTCATTTTCAAAACAAAAAATAAAAAAGCTATAAATGCAATTTTGTGATATAGAGCTACAGTGTGCTTGTGACAGTGTTTTATTCCTCACCAACTAAATGTAACCCACTGACGGTCACTGGTCCAGATCCAGATTTCAGGCGTAGTGTGACAGGAGCCATCAACTCAAACTCCCCAAGGCTTACCTGAGTAAAAACAGATGTGAAAAATTATTTAAATGTTGGAACACTAATAATGTACAACAGTATAATTAAAGGGGTCATAGGATGCCCATTTTCCACAAGCTGATATGATTCTTTAGGGTCTTAATGAAAAGTCTGTAACATAGTTTGGTTAAAATTTCTCAATGGTAGTGTAACACCATAAAACACCTTTTTTACCCGGTCAAAAACAGCTCTTTTCGACAGGCATCTGAGATCGGCTCGATTTGAGAAAGGGGTAAAGATTTTAGTAGATTAACAAAAAACCACTGAGTGGATTTTTATCATTTTAGGGTGGTTGTGTACACACTGCCAACACACATTTCAATTCAAACAACTTGTAAAAGTGCATGTAGCATTATATGACCCCTTTAAAAAAAAAGCAACTCAGAAAAACGCAGCATTACCATAGGCAGGCAGGAAATGTTGAGATTAGCTACAGGCACCGATATTTTCTTTCCTTGGTGATTCATAGCAGTCACTTCCACCACGTTATTCTCCTGTTTGGCACCGTCACCTAGACAAATCTAATGGTTTGAGAGAAAGGTAGAGTTATGCGTTTAAAAACACAGGTCATCAAGCTCTCAGATTCAAACTCATGATGAAATGGAAGCTGCGACAGATCTTTTCTTCCATATTGTAACATACATCAGAAAAGAAAAAATGGACTTGGTTCTATTAATCGGTTGTTCACTGGATTTCGAGATGTGTGCACTGCGCTCAAAAGTGGAGGCAGATGAGTTTAAGATGCAGACACATCTACCATGGTTCTGCTAATTTTTGCATGCAAAATCCAGTCATTTCAATAGGAATCAATTTAATCTAGAATTTCACATAAGAGCAAAAGAATTCTCCATGCATATTTTGCAACAAATTCAAGTTGGTCACATGGATTCACCGCTTTGACCGACAGAAAGCGCTTTGGTATCAAAGGGACTTCGGTGTGAGCTGTGCTTCATTTGTCTACACTATGGACAATAGACAATTAATCTTTTTTGCCTGCCAAATTTTGGTAATCTGAACACATCTTAAATGATTGGAGAAGTCCTCTATACATCACGAGAGAAGTCTGTCATTTCACCACAGTTACAACATTTTAATTAAACATTAAGAGGTCAAAATGAAAATAAATAAATACACATACGCACAGATGAAATGTTCTTAAGATCTACAACATGCATTTAGAAAATAGGGTGAAGTTTTTATTTCTACTGTAAAAGTATGAATCAGCCAGAAATTAAAATCTATTATCATTTACTCACCTTCATATTAAACCCAAATTATTATCATTATTTCTATAGAGCACTTCAGTCACCATTCACTAGCACTGCATAGAAAAAGTGCACCCACACAGAGCCATTCAGGTTTGGAACAACACAGGCAGACTGTTCTTGTCTTGTGATAAAATAGTCTACGAACCGTCCTAAGCTCGAGAAAATGTTCCACATCTTCATCTTCATCTTCATCTGCTTGAAATGTGTAGAATGGAATTTCAGAAGACAACTCACAACCTAAAGGAATCCAAAATCACAATATTAAATAGGTATATTTAATTTAAATGCATAAATTAATGTAATTACTGAAAACGAACATGTTTGAACTACATCTTGATGCACAGTAACCCAGGGTTCTTTTGATGAACGTTAAACATCACTGGCTACAATTATTAGAGAAAATTCTGACAATAGCCATTGTCCCACGTGTGTGAACAAATGTATGTTACAATCAATGCATGCTGCGCGTCACTGTTGATCTTACTGAACACATAGCTTTCCAATCGCGAGCGCGAGTCCACTCCACTGTCTGAGACTTCGTCCTCCACAAACGACATAATCGCTCAAATGTTACTAATATCACTTCAATACAGGATATGATATCCACAGTGCAGGAAACGTTTTCAAAACACGTGACGGGTACACGAAAAACGTCGCAGGGACCATGACGTCATCAACATGGACACGGAAGCGGGTCCATATTTTTTTCTAATTTGCTATATTATCCGAAAGATTCTGTTTAATGTTGATTGTAACTTAAATTACTTTTTCTTCTTCTTAAATATATATGTATACAAATATATATATAAATTTTTCTTCATATAGAAACTGTATCAGCATCTCATAAATTTTAACTTTATGTTCCAGGACTATTAATTCCGTATACTAGAAAGCAATAAAATTTTGATTGTTATAGAATGTTAAAAACTGAAACTATTTAAACCACTTGCAAAGTTTTCAAGAAACCATGTCAGAAATAAGAGGGTTTGCCGGGTTAGTCACTGTGGCCCTAGAAAGCATTTTTCATTCTACTCACTAACGACAGATTTTTTTCTATGTAACATTTTAATTACATCTTAATTACATACAACCCTTACAGAAATTACAACTATATTACATATACATAATCATAATTACATCAAAGTACAGAAAGGTCTTCATTGTTTTAAATATATGCAGTGTATATGACCTTTAAAAAAAAGAAAAGAAAAGAAAAGCCCTTGACATTGGATGTGATAAACCAAAATAAAATAATCCAAGTAAGAAGCCATATAGAGATAAACAATAGCAATTTTTTTTGCGTACAAATTTCCCTTAAATGGGGTCGAAAAAATGTCAAAACTGTTGGCCCATCACATGCACAAAATTATTTACATTTTTCTTAAACTCAGGAAGAAAAGTTACTCTTTAACATTTTAACATTACATATGAGAATCTGCAGGAGCCTTTTGTGCTCATTTAGTTTTTCAGAATATAGCACAACAATACAGAAGAATAATAATATCAGTAATTTTGGTTAAAAAAAGGGAGTACAGAATAAACAGTTTCTATTGTACCTACATTCTGGAAACAGTCCTGACATTGAAGAGTTGACTTCAGAAAAACCCAACTTCAAATGTAGGGGTTTTAAATACATTAAAGAGGCAGACTGTCGTTAAAAACAGGCAAATGTTGTTATTCTCCTCAGGCAAAAGAAAAAAAGGATCTCAGGTATTTTAAAGATAATCCACTAATGTACCTTCATTTATTTTCAGTTTTCACTCTAATTAGAGACAGGGCACTGGTCTTGAGCTTTACTTTACAAATTGTATGGTTTTATTTATTTTTATTATTATTATTTTCTTGTAAACACAAGCATCTCAGAATTATGATGTAACCACGTTTCACCTCAGAAATGTATAATTTACCACTTTAAACAAAGGCATCAGTATAGGAAAGTACTTTTCATTACCCTCAGATATATTCCAGAGGAGGGCAAGAGCCAAAAGGCATTTTTGTACAAAATGAAAAAATTTATCGTTAAAAGATACACATGCTAAAGACTTAGACAAAACTATTCCATGCGGTCTTAAAGACAACAGACTTTATGGTTTAACTGTATTTACTTCTGCTTGCTCAAAGTTCAATTTCATTTTTTTCTTTTCTAAATAATACCCAAACAGCATCCGAAACCTCAAAGGATAGCTTTAACCTGCTGTATTCTCCATACGAGAGCTCACAGACACTGTTTGAACCTGGAAGATGGCAGAATTTATTACAATGTCCTGGAAAGCAATATCACAAACCCTGCCTGTTATGAATTCCTTCTAGATTATTGCTTTGAACACTGTAAAGCACTGAAATGAACTATTAAAAACAGTGAAATGAAAATATCTCTTACCAAATAATGGGAAGTTTTTAGTCTGGAGAATGTAGACGTTAACTTAAACATGCACATATGCTGAACACAAACTGCGACTCAGCCACATCTAAGAGATTTAGTGGGTTCAATGGCACTCGGCCAACTCAAGCAATCGGTCCACCAGAAAAAACAAGTAACTTGTGCGTCCTGAATTACTCTTGCAGACTCACTTCAATTCTTTTTCCATTTCTCACTCACCCTGAACACACCAATGTGTGCGTATGGGCACACTCACTTTCAAACTCTTGAGCTTCCACTACACACTGGCAAAGTAAATGAACAGCACCTACATTTCTAGAAGTGCAGTCGGCATATGATGTGAATGAAGCAACCGTTGCTATTACAAAACGTGATAGTTACATGAACAGGTAGCGCGTTGGGGCCAAAGCTTTGTGCACTTTCTGGGTGGCTCCTTCTGTATGATTTTTCTTCTTGGCGACTCAGATTCACAAACTCCTCCCCATTATAATAACGTCTTTTGGGAATCCCTCCATTTTGGCCACTTCAAAGCAACCCAGTTTGCTATAAAAGTCCAACATCCTTTTGTCCATCTGCCGGACCTCACAGAAAGCACCATGCGAACCTGACAACCGAGGAGGAAAAGATGTGTTTATGAAACGAGGCATTCAAACAAATCACTGCAGCTTTTTATGTCCTCTAACATGTCAACATAACTATAAACATTTTTGTGCTTACTAAAGTTAAAATGTGGTAAGAGGGGGAAGACCACGGAGATTAAAAGCAGCTTTAATGTACAATGTATTTAAGTAATTACTGGTTAATAACAATGTTAGTACTATAGCAATTAATAACAGTATCATAAAAATAAAGTGCACATGCCACACAACCTAACTTTACCTACCATTAGCTTTCAGTGATGAGAGGAGACATCCCATCATGCTTTTGGCAACACTGGGGTCAGTAACCTTTGCGTGAATGTCCACTTTAATGAGTGATGGGAAGTTACTGAGGAATGATTCTGGTAAGCCTTCCTCCTCCTCCTCCTCATGGAAACTTAGCATCATTTTCTATAGGGAAAAGATTGTTAAAATTTCTAAGGCCTCTAAATTATCAACATGATCAAATTTTATTTTTATTTTTTTGGTTTTGTATAAATAAAAGTATAATTTCATATGTCAGGCTTTTAAAGGGGTCATGAACTGAGAAATCTAATTTCCCTTGATCTCTTGACATCTAACGGGTCAATGTACTATAAAAACATCCTGTAAGTTTCAAAACTTTCTCGTTAATTTAAAAACAGCTTTTATTGAAACCAAGCTCAGAAAACGACTCGTTTTGGAATGTGCCACTTTTTAACACCTGCTTCTACATCACTGCCTCTTTAGCCCCGCCCACTGATACACGCTTGTAGTAGGAGAGGAAATACTAGAGAGACGTGAACACAGGATTACTCCATCAACAGAACCATACAGATGACATTACCAGATTACAAGACACTGTGTAGTGTAAGTTGTGAAAAGTAGTTTTTGAATTGCCTTCCTTGTGATCCTAACATATCTAGATCAGACGGGAGCGCTGTTGCGTCATGTCGCGAATCCTTATCTCTTTCAGGTCAGAAGTGGCGTGAATGCTTGTATGTCAGAAATAGAGCAGGACATCAGTTTACTGTCGGAGATTTGTTGTGTCAATCCGTGCCGCATCCAGTGTAGACAGAATTGCAGATTATAATGGGTTCTGTTGTCTTTAGCAGCGCTGCGTCGCTCATGTCCGGTGTAAATTAGCAAAGAGCTCCACATCGCGTCAGTGAAACATTGTTTGTTTGTTTGCTTTACTTTGCTACAGATTAATTTTTAAACAAGACAGTATGATACAGGCTTAGAAAGTAAACGATGATGCAGCGCTGAGTTTAACTAGAGTGGATCCAACAGTAATGTCGCAACACAGAAGTGTGAGTATTGAGTAAACGTGCTTTTACCACATTGCATTGTCTGTTCTAGACCATTTGATATATATTGAGTATTTATAAATTTTTAACCTAAATGACCCATGTTGTTTTCAGAGTGCTTCACAGCAACGTCCATCTGTTATTTTAATAAGCGAAACTGTTAGCCAATAATAGCAGTGGCTGTTTACTTGCGAGTCTTGAATGCTCCCTGCCTATAAAACACTGTTCTGCAGAGAGGCTCAAAAACAGGATAGAAAGTAGCTTATTACTACTAAATTATGATGTTCTTTTGATGTAAAACCACACTAACATTATAAGTGAACCTCAGAGAACATTATAAACTAATAAAAAAAAATGCAGTTCATTTTAAGAATGAGTTTGTTTGAGAAGACATGACATACTAACCTCAGCCTCTGACAGGTCCTTCTCTGTGTCTGGCTTGTTGTACTTCTCCTGCATGAATGGAATCCAACTCATCTTGCATTTCTTCACAAAAGGTTTGACATCCATAGTGCCCAGAGCATAACCACAAATACCTTCCTCATCCTCAAGCACAAAGCCATAGTCTGGGCTGAGCGTCAGGAAACCTCCCACTAACCTGCAATGAGGAAGATAATGGAAAACGTTCACGTTATTAATCAAGCACGTATAATACATTAATGTGACTAACTAAAGTGGAAGTTCAAACCACACCTGTCTCCAATAAGGTCCGGTGACTCATCTGAGAAAAAGATGCCTTCACAGCCCTCAGTGAACATCTCTTTGCAGATCTTGTAGACGGAAGACTGAGGACAGACAGTGAGAAAGTTGCAGTATGTGAAGGCATCTGACAGCTCTGATTCCACAAAGTGCGAGCCCTCTAAGGACTAACAGGTGGACCAGACTGCTGTTTCAGCAGAATGCTTCAGATGTGTTGCAAATAAACCTAAAAGCACAGCTTAAACTGGGACACCTCAGCTGGGAATACAAGCAGCCAATTGCAACGTTTTATTTAGAGCATCAACAGAGTTTTCATACTACAGACAGCTTGCCAAAGAAAAGCCATGTCCTCAACAAGTACAAAATTAACATCTGTACAGCTGTGCACAGGTTACAACTTAGCTTAGTTGCAATGTAAATGGACACTAAGTTACAAATTATGCACTACTAAGTCTTTGTATTGCACCATTAAACTTATTTGAAATGCAACTCTATAAACAGCAGATTGATTGAATTGCATCAATAATGCAATGCTCATACTTTACCCGATTTACTTTAATCCTTTAGACATATATGATGTTGACATTTTTTTACACTTATTAACATTTTAAAAAGAGTGAACTTTATGTAAATAAATGACTTATTAGATGCTCTTCAACACAAACCGAATTATTTGTATCAGTATTTATTGCTCCTTATTAATTTCAAATACGGTTTCTGAATGTTATTTATATTCATTATTTACATATATGCTATTTGCAAAATGCCTACTGTAGAAACTTAATTTTTAATTAGTTACATGAGGCAAAAGGATCAACCTTAACAATATAAACTGAAAATCACCACATTTCTACACAACTACTGCTTAAGAATTTGAAAGCTGTTTTTGGATCATTGATGGTAAATGCCATATTATACGACTATGCAATTATTTTATGGAAAGCTTACAAACAACTAGCTACATTCTGCCTTAAGAACAAATAGTGCAACCAAGTTACAGTACAGGAGGTAGTTACAAACTAGCTAGTTACATGTCCCTAGAATGGACTTTACTTTTTTAAGAACTTACAAATGGCTGATGCAACCCTAACCTGGTGACTAGTATTTCATAAAATTGCATACACAAAATTTTTGAAAATATAAAACGGCTGATATCAGTGGTTAGATGCCCAGCCAAAACCTACCTCATCTTTGGGAAAGTAAGGCCTTATAGTATAGATTTTGGAAGTTGGCATTGGTGGTGGTGGCTGGTAGAAAAGATCATTTGCCCCATCAATTGGCAACAGTCTCTGTGAAGACCAAAGCAAAAGTATTGTACAGTTTAGAATTTCTCTAGGTTTGACCATGTGACTGCACTGCTACTGAAACTTTAGCTTCCGTTTACCTGCTCTAGCTGAACTGACCTCACACAATGGAGCTGAACAAGAATGTGCCTAATATCGGCATGGAAATAAACTGCTTCACAAGTGAAATGGCTCCTATGTTGGTCAGTGTACAGCAAGAGCACGTAAACATTATACATAAGATATGCACCAATGAAAATCATTTCCACCTTTTTTTTCTGAGAAAAAACAAAATGAAACAAAATTGCGCAGGCTTGGTCTGAGAAAGGCTTAACTGGCTAAAGGAGATGCTCCTTTCCCGCTCTTTTTCGCTGCGCAAGAACTTCCTGTAGAGAAAAGGATGAAGCTGGCGCGCAAAGCAAAACTCCATGACCAAATATTTCCAGATTAAAACATTTTTCTTGACAGACTATTTAAAATATATTCAATTTTGACTATTTAAGACCATTTAAACTGAATCATTCTGAGATGTTAAGTATGCAGAGGTTATGAATTAGTAATAATTTGTTCATGGAGCTTTGAGCAGGCTCGCAGTTGCAAGCGCAGTGTTGTGGACGCAGGCGCAGACAAAATGTGGTGATAATTTTTGCGCTGTTTCCTGCAAAGAAACAAGATGTCATAAAATAAAACCTAGCCATGCCGCGCTGTCGCAAGCGCAGAGGGAAAAGCAGCATCTCATTTGGACAGTTGCTGAAAGAAATCCAAATGTATGCTGGGTTAGAAAACACCATCACCCCAAACACTGGATCTGACAGTAACCATTTGACCCATTTCAATTTACACTTCAGAAAAAAAGCCTAAGTGGCTCTCAACACCCCATCGTTTTTCTATGCAGCTGCTGACAGCTCACCTTAAACAGACCAACCCGTAGCGTTTTGCAACCATACCAACATCTAAAACAAACGAAAATATATCTTCGTGAAACATTTTTCTGGTAATTCAATATTGGATACCTGGAACTCTCCTGCTAGACCGCCCCTAAAGGCCCAGGGCTCTTGGTCGCCACTTAAGAACTGTGCTGACGACTGACTACGACACCCTGTTGAGATCAGATCCAAGCGGAGAACATTATGTGAGGGGCTTTCTGGCATAATGAGGGGGAAGGGGTATAGGGTAGAGGTGTCTTATTTCCAAATAACTTCATTGAAAATAAATGTAGATACTACAATCATGGAACACACCTCAAGATTAACAACAGTGAAAACTGCAGATATCTTCTGCCTAGGGCTCAAGCAGCTTAAGCTTACAATGACAGAGGGCTTACACTGACTACAATGCCGGATTTGGGCGCATTACTGAAACGATTCATTTTTCACATAATTCTTAAGCATTTAGAATTAAGTACGATTTGTGATGCAATCTAGGATGAGGTACTAAAGCACTAGCTCTTCAACTAAATAATGCTGCTAGTCTGTTTTGAAGAAATGAGACATTTAAGAATTATTGGCTCTATCACTTTTCCTAAATTTTAGACTGCTTGTTTGGTGATTTTGTTAGTTATACATCATCAGTTTGCTCGCTGGTACTAAATAAGCTTCAGCTGTTTAAGCCCTCTGAATTCTAACTTGAATCTGAAGTCACATTTAGACCTATCTGCCTTGTCACATGACTATCAAGCGTTCTTCATCGGCCACCACCGTGGACAATTTCTTTGATCGATTAAAAATTCATATCATATAATCTTACATGATCGATGGAACAGATCTGGACCCTTCTTGGGCAAGTTACAAAATAAAAAACTCTAATTCAAAAGTCTGCAACAACTGAATCTTTCCAGTCACTACGCCTGCTTGCTCCTGCAGCAGATAACTAAGACAAAATTGGGTGCTTTTCATTGCTCTTAAGCAGACACAAGCTCTATAGTGCAATTGGAATCCATTCGTTTCTAAACAACAGTACCAATGTGAGGGGATGAGGACTCAGCGTCATGTAACAAGACAAATGCAGCGCAGATCCAGGAGACAAAGTTCTCCTGTTTTTTAATCAATTTGATCATACTTAAACACATCCTGTGGTGAAATGGCAGGACACATAACACACCATCTGAGGGGAATTTTACCACTTCCTTTCCTTTTCCATTTTAATATTTTAATTTATCCAGAAAATTATTCTCTGTATAACTTGTTAACGGAATAGTTTTACTATGGAGGTGTGTTTAGATGACTGAGGTAAGGGTATTACTTTTCCCCTAAGTTGGTGTGGTTTTTTGCTGGTCCATTTCAATTGGGCCTACTGATAGAAACAAAAACCATGTTAGAGCTGCCAGAGAAAAGAATTGGGGGGTTAACAACTAACACTTGAGCTATCGCAGTGCAAATGTGACTTCATCCAAAACCTTTCCTTTCCTGAGACACTGAAAAAAATAATTTGGACACATAATGAAAAACAAAATATATCCATAAAACCCCAAAAAGAAAACCGATAATCGCAGCACTGTGCATACATCGGGCACTGTCCATCCAATTGCAGTACAAACTTGTGCTGAGGATTCTTCCATCTGTACATAATGAAGGGAAAAGATAATAAAAGAGCTCATTAGTAACTGATCTCAGCACAACAGCAGTGAGCCGCTGACTGAATGCCATCTGCACTGCTTTGGACAGTGTAGAAATGCTGGCTGGCCTGGCTGAAAACTCACTGGGATTTGGACTGTCCATGCAAACAGAGGCTGAAAAGCATATTGAGAGGAGACAGTCCACACAAAAAACTAATAAATCAACATTAAAAGAACAGTTAAATCAACATCACATTTGTCTTCTCCAATAAAGAGAAGCCTTTATGGGTGTTCTAAGAAAACAAGTCAAACGTTTGATTCAGATTCTATAAAACACCCTCATTAGTGCGGCATATTATAGACTTGATTTTCCCCTCTATCAGCTAATGACAACTTAGATGTGGCATGCCAGTTTTGGTTGCTGCCTGCTGTGTTGCTTTGTTATAAAGCTGGACAGAAACCTGTGAATGAAATGTGGTTACCAAGGTAACCCAGGCCATGCTGGTGCTATAATTACACAACCAACTTCCAACAAAAACCTCATTTAGAGCAGAATCCATTACTCTAACTGTACTGTAGTGATGCCCAGAAGCTATATGGATAACAAACATGGGCATTCTCAGTAAGTGACAGGTCTCTCAATAAAATCATCATAAATAAAAGGGTTGGCTAATGACCCAAGTGCTTCGATAAGAGACTCTTCAGTTTGCTGACTGCACAAATGTATTTAGGATCATGAGAACTGTGTACAGTTCACTGGAATGTAATGTCAAGTGTTTTCTGACCAGACCAGACCAGTTCAGTTAGAGTAAAGAATACGCTGAGGTTGTTTGTGGAGTAACTTCCTATAATGCTCATAATCAGCATATATGGTAAAAGAAAATCCAACATATATAAAGCAATCATTCATGATGCACCAGAATAGCCTTACATAGGCTTGCTTTCTAAGATCGCATGCGCGGCGCGCTAGGGCGTAAAGGGCCTATTTTCCTTCACGATCACACCCTTGATCGAAAGAGATTGCAACAGATGTTGCCAAGTTAACGCGCATTGATACTGAATGCACAGCAAGCAGCAGGACCCACCCTGGCAACTGTGACCACAGCCGTCCAATTCATTCTACCTGATCGAGTGGCCTGAAGGAGAGGCACTGGCTAGCAATGAGGACAGCATCCAGTCAGTAGAGGAAAACAGTATATACATAGTACGTGAAAATAAGTAAGAAAAAGAGAGTGTACACTAGACTGAATTTCCATAAATGGCAGGCTTGGCCCAAGAAATTTCAGTAGCGCATGTGGAAGCTGTTCATACTGTGAGTGAGAACTAAGGTCTTACAGTCGAGTAGAAAAGTGTTAATTTACTCTCTCAAGTCTAAAAATATGCTCTGCCATCTGTTAAGAAAGGCATTTTGAACACCTGAAATCTTAATGACACTATACAACGGCGCAATGCATGAAGTGTAGATGTGAATGTTTTATAAACTGATGACTATTGAAATGAGTGCTCATTGTTTTTGGATTCTACTGAATAACGGTCCAAGTATTTCATGGGTTCAGTGTGGTTAAAAAGCCTTGAGAAGCAGTAAAGAGATGTCGCCATACCTACCTAACCACTGAACAAATGATTTCAACATTGAGATGATACTCTTTATATCCCAGATATAGGGATACAGGTCATAAAGAATGGTCCTGTTGACTGAGTTGGAGAGTCTGGTGAACATCTGGATCACGGAGCAGCACATCTCCTCAAATATTTCCGCTCTGGATTGCCATTCAGCTACCTATGTGAAACATATGAATACCATCTTTATCATAACCACACTATCAAATGCCTGCTGCTTCAAAACAGCTCAGCAACAACTGCTAAAAATGTGTAATTACCCACAAAGTGAGTATTTTGTTCTTATCATAAAGGCACCACCATGTGGTGAAAATAATCACAGCATTTCCACCATTTTGTGGAATCAACCAACTCAAAAGAATGATTATCTCACAAATCAGACAAGGGTGTTTTACCCTACACAAGAGCAATATTTAACCTATTAAATACTTTAGTCTGAAGCAGCAATTAAAATAAAAGTACATTAATTCTAGGAATTTCCAGGAATTGATGAATCTTAATATTATATTTATCTCCATGACTTTCTGGACTAGAAAAACACAATTTTTAAAAGTTTCTCATGACCATGGAAGTAAAGAGTTTTTGTTCAGCCTGATGTGAAAAGATACCTAGTTGTATAAAAGTACTACATATTGATCAGATTCATCAAAACCTTGTTTTTAAATATGACATTTCTCACCTTCTCTGGATCCTTTGCTTTGGAGTTAACACTGACATAATTGCTATTGGCTCTCAACCAGTTAAACTCTTTCAGCATCTGTACTGCTTTAGGACCGTGTTCGTACGGCAGGTAGAAGAGTTCAGCTAGCAGGATCAAATCCTCCAGAGTAAGTGGCTCAGCAGTAAACAGTGGCTTCTCATTGAGGCCTGGAACAAACACTTCCTTAATGAGCTGATCATCAGTCTGCATCGGTGCAATGTCGCTGCCTGAATCCTCTTGAATGGACATCTCTGGGGACTTGGACTCTGTCAGGCTCTCTTTGTCTGTGTCCATGGGCTTGAGATCTTCTGTCATTTTAGCCTTGACAATCTCTGTGAGGATCTGGTTGACATTTTTAGTGTCCTCCACCTCGTCGTGTTTCTCTACGACCATCTCCATGGGTTCTTCATCAGACTCCTTCTTCTCCACCTCCACCTCCTCTTCTTTGCCGAGCACATGCGGTTCATCACTAAGGGGCACAGCTGGACTCATGATGGGCTGTTGGAAGACTGTAGTCACTGTAGTGGAAATGCCCAGACTGGGTGCAGTGAGCACAGGAACATCTATAGAAGTGATTTTAGTTCCACTGTGAGGAACCTGCCGACCTGCAACAGAGAAAGAAAGATTAAGAAACAAAGGTTAAGATAATGATACCAAATTCAAAACATACACGATCATCTTACAAAATATCACACAAAGAAGAAATAGTTACTGTTGTACTGATGAGGCACTCCAAACTCGCTCAGCCACTCAGTGAGAGCCAGCTTGAGCGCGATCTGCGGGCTGTAGAGGATGTCTGTTTCGAGCTCCTCATCACTGCCCTCATTTTCCAGCTTTATCTGGATGGACACAGTGCTGTCTTCACTGTCCGCTAAACACAAAAACAAGAAGCTATGAAGCTACAACCAAACAAGATTAAATACACAAATATGATATAATGTTGTCAATCTTGATCAAAAATATGAGCACTTCGTAAAAAAACAGCACTCTGCCATAACTTTTTTTGTAGAACATCAAATAATAAAGTACAATTCATAAGGAAAAATCCATATCTGAATATTAGCTGTTCTAGGAATATAAATCAGTGTCAAAATATTAGCGTTTTTTTAAAGAGTCAGTAAGAAACAGAAATTGCAATTGTCTTTTCTATTGTGAAGTACATCCGAGTGAGACGGCTTCTCAAATGAGAAAAAAAAAAGTCTCATTCGATTGGATCATTGTCATTTGCTAATTGCTGTGATCTCATGAGAGTGACAGGATGGATTATTGCCCAGCTCTTTCAACTATGTCCACGTTTTGGATTACAGATTATGAGGGCACATGAATAAAAAAATAAATAAGATCTGCATATATATATATATATATATATATATTTTATAATTTATAACTTATTTTTTGTCCTTACAATGAAAGTATATCGGAACCGAAAATGTTCGAAGATATTCTTATGTTCACCAGAAAAAAGAATAACGTGAGGGTGAGTAAATGACAGCATTTTCATTTTTCAGTGAACTTACCTTTTAAGAGGTATGCTAATTTTTATACATAAACATTATAAAAACAATGTTTCCATAAAGACATACTTACTCATGACAACATCTTTTCTCACTCCATTCATGTTAGACTTATACCACGTGGCTAACGTGTGAATGGCCACAAAATTAGACTCAAATTCACAGTTGGGGTTGGTGAGGACTCCCTTCAGCCGAGGGATGAGTTCTGTGGACCTGCCTTTATAAGGCCCCAAGAAAAGTCTCTTCTGATCGTAGTCATTAGCATGAATATTGTCCCAGATGACAGGAGCTCTCCTCAGTATCTTTGTGACTTCTTCAATAGATTCAACACTTATGTCTTTAGAAACTACCTTGGGACCTGTCAAACATGTAAAAGCATTTATAAAATCCACAGATATGATTTTTTTTTTAGGTTAAACACTCAAAAACAATACTAGCGATTACAATAGCATGTATAGACTTGTCTAAAAGTGTCAATACCAGAAACAGATTTATTGCCAAGTATGCTTCTACACCTTGTGTCTTGGGCAGCTTCCAGTACACAGAAAAGTATTATCTATCTATCTATACATTATATATATATATATATATATATATAT